TATTGGCATACGTTTGCCATTTGCTCTCAAAGCTTATAAAGCTTATCCAACTCTCATCTCTTCACACAGCAGTTATCCTTCTGGTCTCATTTCTAGTGTGCATTATTATTGATCTGTGCCATGTCTGGAGCCAACGCAGCTGGTAAATGACTTCAAGAAACTATCATGTCTAGCTGATCCCAGCTAAATCTGCAAGTCCAGCCATATCCAGCTAAAACACAGTCCTGTTTCTGCTAACCTTTCTCTCTCAAAATTCAAGCCTGTCTTAACTGTTAGCCTTTGACTTACCTGCAGGACCTATGGTAAAGACTCCTCCTCCTTTCCATCTCCAGTAGCTGTCCCCGTTGACACCTGTACTTTACATGGAGTCAACCAGACCCAAGCCTGTGCCCTTACCTCCTCAAAAATCATGCCCACGTTTGATGCCTAATGTTATATTAAGAGTAATATAAGAATTCCTTTCTTGAGTTCCAACTCTTCTCCTTAAGAAGGAGCTACTGATATATCTTCATTTCACTTCAAGGTAAATCCTAAAGGAAGTCTAATTGCTGTGGGGTTTGAAGATGGTGTCGTGCGCATCATTGAAGTTTATGTTCCAAAAAGACTGCCTGGTCTTGCGGGACAGGCCAATACAGAGAATGCAGAGATAAAGCTGAAACAAGCTTTCAAACCTCATTCTGCTGAAGTTACAGCCTTGGCATATGAACGGAATGGAGCTGTGTTTGCCACAGGGGTAGGTACCATTTGTTTTGGTTATTTTTATTTAGTCACAAATGTAGAGATTATTTAAAGAGACAAGGTAAAGTTTGTTTACTGACAACACAGTTATACTTCTGTTACTGCTGTTGATTGCTTGCTGTAGTTCTTTGCAGTGCTGTTTGCACTCACATCTGTTTTTCTGAAGGAAAGCAACCATGCAATTCACACAATTCATTTTGTGAATTACTGGACTGTTTAGTGTAAGTTCTGTATTCTCCTTTGAAGATGATTTGGTTCATTCTAGAATTAGTTTAGTAGGATCTTGGAATTAGTAAAAGCAAGTCTGTTCATACACCACCTTGGCAGCACTCCAGCTGCTACCCAGCACTGCTTGGCCTTACTGCAGGGTCAACCAGTCAGTTGGTCAATATGCCTGGTAGTCTTGGAGGTGATTTCCAGTTGATATGGGTCTCTTTTTAAAAGCTAGTCCTTAGCCATGCTCAGTGCATTTGCAGTTACATGTTCCTTGAGCTGAATTGCCATGCATTTCACTTAATGTAGGATTTAAACTGCCATAAATCATGTTGTGCACCAATTCTGGATTTTCTTGTTATCTGGGGAAATCAGCTTATGCTGGCTTATCCGAAAAATCAGGTCTGAACCTGAGCTTTAAAGGAGCTTCTGGGGCAATGGGCTGAAAGCACATGGCTGGGGATGCCAGAGGGGAACCCATGAGAGCAATTAAGGGCTATGGGTGCAGTCACGGCCTTGGAGCAACATGGACAGGATCTTCATTTCCTCCTAATAATTATCATGGAAATTCAATTTTAAGTTCCAAGGCACTTGTAAGTCCCCATGTTGAGTCACCAAAAAAAAAATAACAAAAACGTGTGTGTTTATGTCATGAGGTACCTACAGTCTTTTGAATTTTTGGTCAGCTTTTATTCAGTTGTCATCTTTGTTGTTTTGTTGGTTTTTTTCCTTAGGGTAGAGACAAAACAGTTTTCTTTTTTGCTATTGAAGATGAATACAAGCCAATTGGATTCATCCATGTCCTTGGGCCTGTGCAGGCATTACAATGGTCTCCACCTTCTCACGTGAGTAATGCATGTTTGCGTCCTTTCCTTCCCTACAGTGTTACAATATCATTTGAAAAGAACTTCCCATCAAACTAGGTGAAGATCCATGACTAGCTGTGTTCTCTATAGACAATGCAAGAGGTGTTTTGCTGCTTTGGTCTTCATGCTGCTTCAGCATGACAGATCAGTTCTGTGTAGCTGTGTCTCTGGTTTAGTCACTTTGACATATTTTGGACTTTAGGTAATGCAAGCCACAAGACTTTGCTATACTTTTTGAGCTAGAAGAAACAATCTTGTTCCTTAGCTTTTGGAAGGTCTTAGTTGTCTTTGATAAAAATCTTATTTGAGCATTATTGCCTGTGACTCTTGCCCATATTAAACAGGCTCTTGCAAAGCTTTTGAAGCACATTAAGAAAGGTTTTGGGTGCTTCTCGGAATCCAGACTCTGTGTTTGAAGTGTGTCAGGACATATTCAAATAGATTCTTGCTAATATTATAGGGTCAGGGTAACATCTGAAATTTTGGTTGGTACAGTATTCTTATTTAGAGGAGAGATTAGTGCTTATATTTAGATGCAAACAAGATACATTGTACAGGTACACAGTGGCAAAGTATTGGTATTATTGCTTGTTCATTGGAACTGCTAAAAACTATGCTGGCAAAAGAGCTCTTCCTGGTATGAATTCTGTCTTACTGCAGAAATGACACATCTTTATCTGACAGTTGCATTTTGAGTTCTTTCCTTGAAGACAAGTTAGACCTTCTTACTAAAAAACCACCCATCGTGTCTTGGATATGTTAGATTCTGCCAGAGTAATTTTGTCTACCAGTATCGAGTCTCCACTACTAGATGTGAACACTTAATAACCATAGTACAAGCATCAGAGTGTGACACTACTTTTTTTTTTTTCTCTTTTTAAAAAAGCATCTTGGTGATTAAATACACTATAATTAAACATTTTTAAACTGAGATCTTATAGACACAAGAATGATATCATTCCTAGTTAAGGTTTCCATAGCAACTCCAATGTGCCCTCTTTGCACGTTTTTAGTGACGGGTCAGGTAAAATAAGCCTCTCTCTGTTCTCCAGATAGGTTATGAAAATTGAAAAGAAGTACAGACTTGCTTTCTAAAATCTCAAAACACTAAATAATTATCATCCTCACCTCACCTATTCTTCCTGCATTTGCATTTCAAAGGATTTGGCAGGTACTAGCAAAGGACAAACAAACTCAAAAGTGAAACAGCATTTGGCAGGACTCTGAGCCAAGTCTTGAAGATATAAAGGATTTATTAGTATAGAAACATACGAAATTTCATACAATTATAAAACCAAAACCTCAGCTCATAACTCTTGGGTCAGATCTGTCTTTTAATTTAAACAAACTCGCAAAATATCATCATCTCCATCCAAGCTGAGGAATGTCAGAATGATACTGCTTTGTACATGGCAAGGACTTGTTTGATTCTATACCTTTGCCTAGCATATATAGCATAAACGAAGCTCGCTGATTTCTGGTGTCCATTTGAAAGTGCCCATTTAAATAAGAGCACAGTTAAGAGTAGCTGGAGTTTAGCTTTGTTGCCCGTGCATCTGCTGACTCACTTTTTTTCCCATTAATCTCAGTTCTATTTGTACATTTGCCCTATACTTGTGTTTTTTGTGGTTTTATACAGGAGAAGAGCATGCTGCTCATCCTTTGTGAGAATGGCTTTGCTCTCCAGGTTCCTGCCCCAATCCCTGAGGAACAGGATACAGCGTCCAGCTATGAAATGAAAAACCTGCCCATGCAATACTTCCATTTTTATAGTATTAAATCCCGAATCAAGGTAAAAAACTCCTGTGCCAGAATTTCATGTTCTTCATTGTGTCAAAGGACAAAACTACCCAAAAAGGTTTCTAGACCCTGTATTGCATCAGATGATTTTTTTGCTAAGCTTCTTGAAAGGGAAGTCCAGGTAGAGTTCATTTGTGGCTGAGCTTCCACATTTGAAATTACAAGTTGTTGTTTGTTTATTCAAATACAATGCACATCACACGGAAGGCATGATGTGCATTTTGATTAAAACTAGAAGACAGTATTAGTGAAAGGAAAGGTAGTACTGCACATCAGTTCCCAAAATATTTTAATATTGGTAATTTTCACAAAGAGTATGTTTCTTGTTGTTGAAGTTAGCCCTATAAGAAATTCCTTGAACAGTAATAAAACACCCATGTAGTCACCTGGAGGCAAGCATGCAACCTTTATTTTTTCCAGCAGTTATATATTTCTGGGTTTTTTCCTTAAAATTTTTCTGGGGTTGTAATGACTTTAAAAGTGTTATAACTTTCAAGGAAAGGTTAAAAAAATGTGTGTGGAGTTTTGTCCATTGTTTTTATTGTTGGTGGGGTTATTTTTCAGTCAAAAGAGAAGAATATTGTTGGGAGGAGACACTATAAATCTTTTAAAATAGAAAAGGTTTCTACAGAGAAAAAGAATAGTCATTGCTCTCTTTTTCCTTTAGAAATAGATCAATAATTCATAAGTTGCACACAACAAGGATGTTTTAGATAAGGAAGGATTTCTCACAGTAAGGGTGGTGCAGCACTGAAATAGTTTTCATAGGCTGTAGAGTGCCCAGAGCAGGAGATTTTTAAAAGGTAAATCAGACAATCACCAGTTGATGATTTTTAAGGTTTAGGTGGTTCAGCTTTTGGGCAAAAGAATGCTCTTTTGACCCTTTCCAGACCTTTCATTATGATTTGCTATCTAATATCTTCTTAGGAAGATCCTATTTTAGAGAATCTTTGATATTTGTTCATGCTAAAGTGGGCTTGAATGGAAAGGGAGTTTTAAGGGTTTCATAAATCTGCATGTCTTCCCTTTATCATTCAGAAGTCTGTTACAGCTTCTCTCCTTTGCTCTGTGTCAATGATGTACTAGAACTTGGGAATCTGAGTTCAGCTTTCCAGTGCTTTTCTCTCCCCCAGGCAGGCAGAGGACAGGATTTAGGAGTTCTGCAGAAGTAGTATACTAATAGTGGTGAATATTTGGAATAATCTCTCTGAGGAAATGCTGAAGTCTGCTTCCCATGCAGAATGGTTTCCGTTTCAAAGGACCATGAGTTAAAGTCATACAGTCATAGAAAGTGAAGAAGTTGGAATGGACCTTAAAGAACATCCAGCCCCAACCCCCTCAGCCATGGGCAGGGACACCTCCCACTAGAGCAGGTTGCTCAAGGCCTCATCCAACCTGCCAGGGTTGGGGCAGCCACAACCTCCCTGGGCAGCCTGCGCCAGTGTCTCACCATCCTCAGAGTAAAAGAACTTCTTCCTAGTATCTAGTCTAAATTTCCCCTCTTTCAATTTATACCCATTGCTCTCTGTCCTATCACTACAGTTCCTAACAAAGAGTCCCTCTCCAGCTTCCTTGTAGACCCCTTCAGATACTGGAAGGTTGCTATGGGGGTAATACTTCAGAGGAGGGAAATAGGGGCATTCCACTGGAGAGCCCCATGAAGTCTGGTTGATCTCTGTTTAGCTGACAGAAAAGAGATTTCTCTAGATATTCTCTACGTATTATGCCAGGAGGACCACCTTGGATTTCATTTATGAGACTCTTTCAGTCAGTGATGTGTAGAGTGCCTTGGTTTCATGTCTCTGTGTTTCTCTGCTTGTTGTAATAGCTGGAAGAGGAGATTGCACTGAGAGAGAAACAAAAGAAGGAGAAGGAGATAGCAAAGCTTGAATGGATAAAGGAGCAAGAGAGAATGGGAATGGAGGTAGAAGAAGATTCCAAAGAGGAACCTGAAGAAGAGCCATTGCCACCTCTCTACATACCAGAAGAGCCCAGTCCCATCCTCTGTGGCTTTTATTCAGCACCAGGAAAATTTTGGCTTTCCTTGGTAAATCAATTTTTATTGCGGGCTGATGGGTTTGCATGAAGTGACAACCTTCCCTTCCCACCTGAGTGCCTTGGAAAACTGATTATTTGAAACCTACCATCTTTAGGACATCAAATTCCCTTCATACAGTGGTCTTTGTGAGGTAAACCAGTAGTGTCTCTCCAGTTCAGATTGTTTGGTACATTTCCAATAGGTATCCTTCTCAGCGATGGGCACAAAGACTAAGCTGTTCCCTCACAAGCAGAAGGCAGAATGCTAACATACTGGTGGGGTGGCTTGTAATGAAAGTGATCATAATAGACTTTTCTTTGTGGATAAACAGGATCTCTAGGTGTTTGAAAGTGACATTTTCTAACCTATCATATATCCTTAAGAAAGGCAGAATTATTCTGAAAATTGCATTTACCTGGTCAGCTGCTTCAGTTTTCTTTTGTCATCATTTCTTTATGGTTCTTCTCTTCTCCAGGGTGGGTATGACTCAGGGTTTCTCTATCATTGTGAATTCTCACATGATCATCAAGAAGATCTTGAAAACAGGAAAGATGAACCCTTTGAAGTCATACCTGTTGAAGGCACTGACAACAATCCCATTCACCACATCTCCTTCTGGTAAAACACTGTAGTGTATCAGATATCTCTGTGATAAAGCTTGATGAAACTGAACTTGGGAGGGAGGAGCTTACACTTCTTTGTCCTTTTTTAATTGTGGCTCAACTCTAGTGTGCAGGAACTTTCTCTGGTTTTCCTGGCACTGAGTTTCACTGAAAATTGCTAATGGATATAGCTAGTCCATGTGTCTCAAAGAATAATTAAAAAAGCTCTTCAAAGATGAAAAAGTCTGATTTCCAATTAAGTACTGATTAGGACTCAAACACTCTAGACTGTGGAACTGCAGGAGAACCATTAGAAGTTCCTGCATATTGTGATTACCACAACACCCGTTCTTTTTCATGGTTAGCAAAGAGCATTAGCTCTCAAAGAGAACAAGAGGGATTAGTCCATCCCTCTTTTGCAGAGAGTACAGGCTTTTCAGGACATTCTGTGAACTGTATGAATGAAAAGGGTGGATTCTTTTAAGACTCCCAGTATTAGGTTTCCTGTAAGGATAGGCATGTTCTGCATCTAAGGAAGCAGGTTTGGTTCATGCTTTAATCTGCTGCTGGCTGCATTCACCACCATCTGTACTAAATGGGCAGCAGGGAGGGAAAATTACTTCTCTAGCTTGTAACTTGGTGTATGCTATGCTGCCTGACTCAGGGCTGAGACAAGTTCCATGATAGCCAAGAAATGCTGGAACATTCCTGAGCAGCAGTCAGCTGAAAAAAAATTATGGTAGAATCTGACATACTTCAAATGATCCAAATACTTTGCTCCCAGCTTACAAAGTTGGGAAAGTGACTTTTACTAAGCTAGATTAGCTCTTTTCAAGTATTGTGCTTTGAGCTTGCTATTACTGTTTCTCATTGCCTGTTTGACAGTACCAGAGGACTACTGATGTTCTGTGGGATGCAGAATGGTGCACTGCGTGTTTATCGTCTCCGTGATCAAGACCTCTCAGTGAATAGCCTGAAGGAATACTGGTGCTTCAATGTGCATGACAACGATTATGGCCAGATCAGGGGGATCTGTTCTAGTTTTGATGATAAGTTTCTGATTACCTGTGGCGCAGATGGAAACATTTTTACGTTCAATATCCTGTCTCCAGAGGATGTTCGCAAAGAGCTAAAAGCTAAAATCCCCTTTCCTAGGGTAAGTTGCTACCCTCTTTCACTGCATTAGGCCTATGTGGTATGAAACTACTGTAGATGGGCAAAATGCAGTTCAATTATTTGGCATCATAGATCTTTCACAGCAAAAGCTGAGGTTTCCCAAGCAATTTATAAGAATAGCTCTTGCACACCGTTCCCTAACAAACAGGCACTGTAGCTACATTGTTCATTCTCAATGTTTAGTGTTTTTCTCCATATAAACCTAGTGTGTTCATATGTAATATTCTACCAGTCTTTTCCCACTCAAATGTGTAATCCTGCATATTCCTAGAATGCAAGAACCACAGGGATTTGTCATACTTCATACCTGTCTTGGATTTAATATCAGTAAGGCATGATTCCGCTCTGGATGGGGATTCTAGAAACAATGTTGGAGAATACCAAATGTGTAGTTTCTCCATGCATCTAGTACCGTTCATCTGCAATTCACAAGTCAGATTTTTTACATTTGCAAAACAGCACAGCATGATGCTGATCCTGTTGCTCTTTTGCTCTTGGATAGCACTAGCATTAATGAATTTACAGGTGTCCTGTAATCACTGTAGAGCTAACCACCTTTAGCACATTTGAACAGAGGGCACTGGAACTCAATACATAAGAAGAGAGATGTCAACTCCCTCGCTGAAAATGTTCAGACTTTATTGAATTTTTTTAAATCTCTGGAGTGTCTGAATTAAGTAAGTACATCTTGAAGGAAGCAGTGAGACCTGTTGAGTAAAGAAGTGCTATCATGCACAGTGTATATTCTAGTAGATGTATATTCAGTACAGTTTAAGAATCTCAAAAGTGTCAATATGAAACAAATCCAACTTTTAAATATTTTTAATACTAGTTGGTAAGTACATTTTGAAAGATGCTTGACAAGGGAGACAGAGGAAATTGTGATTTTGGTCATTCAGCCAAATTGTTCATGACTAGTTGGAGTTCTTTACCAGTATCACAAGAATATATAGCCCTGAGAATAGACACAAAATTATTTTCTCTAAGTGAATGATTGGAGCCTTAGATAGCAGAGCTTTGCTAGCTCCAGTATTACAAGAAGTTATTAGTACACAATTATAAAGCACATATACAGTTTTATAATTTTGAATATGTAAGTAACTCTATATAAAGATTTTTATAGTCAATTTCTATTGTTCAGGCCAGCAACATTGCTTAATGACCATCCTAATAGACTTTTTCCCTTTTGAAAGTGTATCTTCATTAAGTATCTATCCTAGTTTTAAGCCATGTGGAAGATTTAAAAAATTCTATCTTCATTAAACTTAATGAGATTCTTAGAGAATCAAATACAAATCATCTGAAACTAATTGAGTTAAATTACAGATCAATTTAGTACAACTAAATTGTTGGGTGCTAGGCCCCCCTCTTTTTCTAGAGCATGATTGCCTAAGGAAATGAGGCTCGTGCAACTGCAGTGTCCATCCATCTGTCATTCTTCACAGCTAATAATTGTGAATCCATTATGCAGTCAGCAGAAGCAAACCTGATTAATTACACATGTAACTTGGAATTAGCCCAGGATACATTGTCTCTTGTCAACGTGGCAGTGAGGGGAGACAAGAGCATTGGGGCTGGGGGCTGGAGAACCAAAGATGTTATAGGACAGAGTGAAGTTAGGACAAGTTATGTTTCATCAGTTCTTTTAGATACAACCAGCTTCATTGCTTTGTCTGCTTGAAACAATAAAACTTGTTATTTAAGGCCACGTAATAATATTGAACCTGAAGATTTCTTTTGGTTTTGTGGGAGGCTATGGGAGTTCTGTCTTACTGTTTATAAGAGCTTTATAAAGCTTTTTATTTGTCCGTTGAAACCATTTCTGCTTGTTTCAAAGACAAGACAACATTTTTATTCCAGAGTGGTCTTGAGAAGGAGGAGGATGCTGAAGACACTGAGGATGCCTACACGTAAGAGATGCTTAGATAATGAATGAAAGAGATTTTCAAGTCTTCGTAGCTCTTTCCTCAGACCACGTACTTCTTTTTGCCTACTAAGAGGAGGGAGATCACCCTGAATTTGAGTAATTTCTTTGTTACATGCAAAGTTTTTTCAGCCTTTCCCTCTATTTTATCTACTTTTCTGTGGTAGTAATCCAAATATGGTACTGTGAGACTTACTTCAGACTACTAAAGCAACACAAGGTGAAGGTCAAAACCTCTTGATGTTAGGATTGTGCAAATAAACAGGAAGATGATTCCTTACTGTTACCTTAAGAGACATTGAGTTCACTGGGAATTTAAGGCTGTCAAGAAAATCTAAAAGGTTACATAAACTATAAATCTTTCCTCTCTTCCATGGAGATAACACTATTTCCTTTTTCATGCATTTTCAGCATTGAGGAAGTCAAGCAGAAAAAGGAGTATGAACGGATAATGAAGGAAGCTGAAGAAAAGAAAAAGAAGAAAAGAGAGGAGATAGTTTCACTAAGACAGGAGTTCCTTTCTCTCCTTCAAAAGAATCAGCAGTTGCCCAAGCACATGCAGCTGCGCAGAGAGGTACATCTGGTTTTTATGAGGGTCATTTACCTTTAGAGACAGCTTCTTCAAAAACATTGCTACCCAGCATGTTGGGGCCAAAGATGTCCAATCCTTTAGCTTAAGGTAGTTCTATGCATATATAATCTGATGGGACTTCTGAATCATGGCTGTTGATTTGTGCCACTTAAGAAGCTTGTGGGGAAAAAAGTGGTTCTCTGTGGAGCTCTGAATAGTTTACGAAATGAAGGATTGTGTTGAGGTGCTATGGCACCTGGGCAAAATATTTATTATCAAGACTTAGTAGCCTAAGACACAGTAATGTGATGCTGTGCTTTCTGTCTTTCTGCAGGAGTTTGAGATGGACCATAGGATCTTTGAGGAGCTGGATAGGCAGAGAGCACAGAAAATCGAGTCAGTGCAAAAGGAGCTGGCTTGGGAGCGTGAGAAACACTTGATTGGACTGCAGAAACTACAAAAGCAGTAAGTACCACTTTTCTTCTACTTCTCCCTCTGACCTTTCAGGGGGCTTATTGTTTATGAATTTGTACCTGTCACAAGGAAAAAGAATGTGATTTTTTTCTTCTCTCATATAATCAATATTTCATCTGTTCTTTTATGATTCTGTTCTTACTTTACTTGGAACATACTTGAGAGTATATATCAATATTTGTGTGTCATCACTCCTTTTGAACCTTTGGTAAAAACTCAGATAGTCAAATGAAGGAAGTAGCTTCATTCTGATTCACTTCTGTATGCAGAAATCTGGTTGAGACTGTTTGCCTGGGGTTTTGCCAGAAAGTTCAGGAAGAACTAAGAACTTTTATTGAAGAACAACCTGTGAAACAAACCCCTGTTTTTCAGGCACGTTGCATGTCTGTCACATATTTTAGTGTCATTGCTAACACAATGTTCTCTACACAATTTAAAGTTATGAGACAAACCTTCTCAAGAACACAAGTTTAAGCATGAAGTGCATTTTGGCTTGGTTTTCATAGATCTAAGTATATAGCAAAAGATGATTTCCTAAAAGTAAATACACAGTACAAATAATACACAACAACAAAAATACCTTAGGTACAGAGAGTGTGTGACTGGGCAAAAGGCTTGAATGAACATGCTTTTAATCAGTCTTTAATTGAAGATGAAAGTTATTCTCATGAAGAACCTGGTATAAGTTTCAATACTGGGAGAGGTCTTGATATGTTTATTCTTGAGCATCTCCATTCCTGGATTGGATAAAAGTCAATAGATCGTGTCAGATGTCATCACACTATGCTATTACTGACTGACTTGTGAGTTTACATGTAATGATTGCATGTGCAATAAGTAATCTACATTATTCATGTCCTTTTGCTCAAGGCAAAATGGTATGTTGTGCCTACTGACATCAGATAATTTTAATTTGGCCTTTCAGGTTTCAGGACTCACTGGAATTGACTGTTGTTGTTCGTGCTATTCAAAGCAACCATGAGATTTCCACCTACAGACTTCTAACAACGTATGAGAAACACTGTCAAGATGAGGAACATCTGTCATGCAAGAGGACAGCATTTAAACAGGACCAGGAACCAGCAGAAAAAAAGGAGATCACCACAGAGAAAAAGCATATGCGTAGGGGTAATGATAACCATTTAAATCTTTCATTAATATGGTTTCTGTCTTTCATCTTAGTTTGTTTTCCTGAGTCCAAGCTGAAGAAATAATATGTGTAGGTAGAGGTGAAGAAATACAGCTGTGGTATGTTTTTTTAGTACTTACATACATAGTAAGACTCATACGTAGTTTTCCAGGTTTAGGTCGATGTGAGCAATTTTCTGTCAACCCCATGGGTTGAATGTGACTAAGGGTCAAGGCAAAGAACCTGAATACTGTCAAAATATCCACTACACTGGAACTATACTGATTGACATCAGCTCTACAGGAGTTGTCCCAGGGGATTTACAGGACTGCACTGTGTTGCATGGTATTTGCATCTTCACATGGTTATTTTTTGGCCCAGGTACTGTAACTTTTGAGGCTGAGGCTGAGAAGCTGAAGATATTAGAGGACCATAAGCCAACTGCACGTTATATAGAAAGCAGACGGGAGAAAATCGAAAGGCTTGTTGAGAAATCTGACAAAATGAAAGCTAAGATCATGAAGAGGAAGGCAGAATGGGATGAATTGTGAGTCTTGAGCAGGGCTCTGTGCTCTTTTAGTTCTGCTTCTTGTCTGAGGTCGAGTAACGCTATTTAGCTGTCATATAGCACTATAATCTCTCGGCCTAAGTTTTTATACTTCTAATGGTTGTAATAAAATAGATGAATTTTCATGTATCTCTGAGATTCAAGAGAGTATTCAAACATTTCAGTTGGTTTCTATGGTTCTAAAATGTGAACAAATTTGAATCCAGCTAGAAAGGTGAATTTTCAGACAGGGAGTAAAATATGTCTAAATTGATCGTGACTGAGGGACACCTAGGCTATTACAGTCACTCTCAGTACCACATGGAGCAGAGACTGTAACAGCTGGGTTAGGTCAGCAGTGTTAATATCACAGCCATTATGTGAGTGTTTGTGATATGCCTTCATGCTCCATGCTGGTCTTTATCTTGAGAGGAAAGAAAGAGGGACAGAAATCTTTCACAGAATTACAGAATATCCTGAGTTGGAAGGGACCCACAAAGATTTCGAAGTCCTGCTCCTGGCCCTGCACAGGACTGCCCCAAGAATCACACCATGTGCCTGAATCACAACTTGTGCATGTTCTTCAAATGCTTCTTGAACTTTATCAGACTTGGTGCCATGACCACTTCTCTGGGGAGACTGTTCAGTGCCCAACCACCCTCTGGATGAAAAAACTTTTCCTAATATCTAACCTAAGTCATATCTTTGAATGACTTCTTTTCAAGGCCAGGTTGGATGGGGCTTTGAGTGACCTGGTCCAGTGGAAGGTGTCCCTGCCCATGGCAGGGTGTTGGAACTAGATGATCTTTAAGGTTCCTTCCAACCCAAACCATTCTGTGCTTCTATGGTCATGGAAGTACAGAAATTCTTCTTTAGAGGATGAATGATGGGGAATGGGACCAATGTAGAGTCAGAATACAAGGCAAGGTTATTGAGTATTTATAGAGTAGGATCAGGTATTCTGTGCTACAGGCTGGTCGACTGTTGACAGGCAGCTCTCTGAAGCTGAGAGCAACATGTACTCACTTGACCCAGAACTCAGTCTGAGCGTGAAGGTTTAATCTGTCCCATGGCAGAGCTATGTTCTAAGAGTTCTTGGGGGAGAAAAAAACTTAATCTGAAGTTTGCATTCAGACGTCCAAGGGTATTCTTCCCAAAGTAGCCATTCTTTTCTGAAAGAGGTGTGTCATTCTTGACCCGTTGTTCACCTCTCAAGCTTTACTGCACAAATCAGAAGGTATGAAATGATCCTGTTTGTTCATCTGTATGCTTTCGGTTGTAAAGTTCAGCTTTATTTTGTACCTACTAGATACAAGAGCAAACCTAGTGATGACTGTGAGAATCCCAAAGATGCTGAGGAGATCAAAGAAGCACGGGAGAACATAGGATGTTATAAGCTGAAGACTGCCTCTAACTACAAACTCCCTGAACATGTGAACACTGAGAAGAAGGTGATGCAGCTTGCATCCCTGGAAAAGTTGGTATGGAAACTGATTCATTGCTGTGTATATTTACTATTTGAGGGGGAAGGGAGGATAGTATATTAGTCACTGAATAATTTTTTTGAAAGGAAATCAAAGTGGATGTGGGAATACATCCTGAAGGACAGTCTGCTGTGTTGAGTCAGCTTTAGTTATGAATCAGCCTTTCTCTTGTGAACTGTTAGTGCTTCACCAAACCCAAACCTGAATCAATCCAGGATAACCCTCAGCTGGCTCTTTATAAATGAGAATTTTTCCTTACTATTTCTTCAGCAGGGACACCTGTCTTTTTTCAGTTCTTCAGAAAGTCTTAGCATCTAGTAACTGGTGTGCTTTCCTTGAAACACTGAGCTAAATAGCCCCTGCCATGAAATACCTTTACAAAAACAGGGATGAGCAAGGACAAGTGGTCCTAGTGTGGCCTCTCTGTATTCGCACTTTGCGAAACAGTGCTTCTGTGTACTAAGCATTGGCATCTTCCTAAGAAACCAGGTCTTTAGGAGCCACCTTGCTGTGATAGGACTCCTACAGCTACTGCACATCTTTTAACTATGAAGACACAATAAGCTCAAATGTTGTGCAGTATCTTTTTTGCTTGGTTTGTGACTTTCCCCCCCGATTGTTCTTTTCATTGGAACTGTTTTTCATTTTATTTGGCTGGAGTGCAAAAGAGTGACACATTTCTTTATCTAAAAGAACAATGAAGAAATTCTTCTATTGCAGTTGGAACTGCCTAGTTGCTTTTTGGTAGGAAGGCTTATTTCTTGCCCTGCTTACTGACAGAGGAGCCTGTTCACTGCATGGTTTATCTTTGTTGAAGTGGTCCTGAGTCTTCTCCAGTCCTGTCCTCATGAACCAGTTGCCTAATCTCAGGCACTGTGTATGCTGGGTGGCTTTGTCAGTAAGGTATAAGCATTAAAGAAGCAATACTACAGTCTCAGGGGGTTTGTTGGGTCATTTTAGTGCCATGCTTGGGTTTCAACATTTCACTGTAGTGCTGATGTTACTAGATATCCAGTGATTAATCTAACTCAGTAGGACAAGACAAGACAAACAAAGGGAATAGTTCTTGTCATAAATTCCAGGTTTATACAGATGAAGAATTCCAGTTACTTCAGATGGCTGTTGTATAGGGTTATTTTCTTTTATAAAGATCAGAGAAGTTTCTGCCAAATATATTAATGATAGATCACACTCATTATTATTTCATGTGAAAAGAGTCAACTAATACAGCATCTCCTTGTCATGGAATGTTTGAAGTAGGAAAATGTTTCTGATGGTAATCTAGTCCAAATCCTCTGCTCAAGCAAGGCTATCTAGAAGGGGTTGCCATGTCCAGATGGCTTTCCAGTTTCTCCAAGGATGGAGACACTGCAACCTCACTGGGCAATCTGTGCCAGTGTTCAGTCACTCTTACAGTAAAACAGTGTTTCCTGATGTTCAGAGGGAACCACCTGAATTTCAATTTGTGCCCATCTTCTCTTGCTAGTCAGTGGGCATCACTGGAAAGAGCCTGGCTCCATCCTCTTTGCACACTTCCTTCAGGTATTTATATACATTGCTGAGATCTACTCCAACTCTTCTCCTGGCTGAACAGTCCTAGCTCTCTCAGCCTTTCCTCGCAGGAGAGATGCTCCAGTCCTCTAATTGTCTTAGTGGCCCTTCACTGGACTGTCTCTGGTAGCACTGATTCTCTCCTGTACTGGGAAGCCCAGAACTGGACACAGCACTCCACATGTGACCTCGCCACTGCTGAGGAGGGATCACCTCTCTTGACCTGTGACAATACTCCCTAACACCGTCCAGGATAAAGTTTGCCTTCTTGTGTTGGGGAAGACTACTTGCTATGTAAGTATTCCTGGGGAATCCTGCTAAAATTGTTTTTTCTTTGCAGATCCATACGATGAAAGCAGATATGAACAAAGAAATCCTGTCTTTGCGGGATCTCAAGGTTTCTGTTATTGATGAAATCAAGTGTTTAGTGCAGGAATTGAAACACGTACAGGCAGCCTTGGATTTGTCAGAATGTCTCCCTCTTCCCTCAATCCCTCAGTTGCACCCAGATGAAGTTCCTGAAAAAAAATTCGAATACAATAGTGAGATCCTCCTGAAGTTCAGAGAGGAGCAGGAGGCCAAGGCAAAGCCCCCAGAACAACTGAAAGAGTCTCCATCATCTCATGCATTTAGGGATAGGTTTCGCCAAACTCCTTTGATAAACAAGACTGACCCCATGGCACAGGCTGCAGGTGGATGTCCAGTGGAAACAGCATCATCTGTGGCAAAAAAGCAGAAGAAGGGTTCTGAGTTTGAGAAAGTAGAGCCAACTGAAATGGAACTGGAAATGTTAAAGCAGGAGAAGATAAAAAATCTGTACTTGCAAGAGACCTTTATTAAACAGGTAGGAAGTCAAAAGTTATTTTTGTCAGATTAAACCATTCCAGTGGATCAGAAATGAAACCAAAGCCCCTTCTGTCTCAGGATTGCAGCTATTCTTGCCTTTCTGAAGTTCAGAAAAATGCTATCTGTTGCAAATTTACAGTGTAAATCAGTATAAATCCCTGGGACCTGTGTGCTGACTATTATCACTTGAAAAACAGATTTCTTATTGATTGTTCTATGAAACTATGAGCTTAGTGGCCAAAAAAAAAAAAGAAAAATAGAAGGTTAGACACTACTTGAAAAGTTACAAAGAGGAAAAAAAGGAGCATCACTACAACTTCGTAGATTCATGGTGTTCTCAGTTCTTATATGTGTTGAGAGAATATCCCAATTCTGCTGAGACCATCACATATATCTAAGTTAATGTCGGCAGCAGCTACTACTGATTTGCTTATAAATGTCTAAGGGAAGATCTGGCAGGTATTCAGAGAGAAGTCTGTCAAGGCAGATTTATTTTTTGTTACATTTGTGATTGTTACATCAACTACTGTGAACTAGAGACTACTGTAAAACATTCTCTGAAGAGTAAAACACTTCTGGGTAGGAGTGGGATGCAGTGAAGGATTCCTGTGAAGCCCTGGTGATTCTTTTGCTACTGTGCTGAGAATGAAGACACATTTGGGGTTAACTTTGTGTTTCTAAGTGCTTCAGTAATCCATAGTAAACAGCAAGTCTGAGTTGACTTGGTGGAGAACTTTTTCCTTGTACAAGTGGAGCTTTACATGTTCATCTTCACTTGTAATACTTTCCTTGTTCCTGATTTGACTCTCACATGCTCCAGATCAACACACTGATGATCAGCTTTGATGCTGAACTTCACCTTTTGCGGCACAAGAAGCTGAAGATGGATGTGCCGATGATAAGTGCTGAGCTGCGCTACATCATGTGGTATGCAGAGCTGCTTATCCTGAAGAACTCTGAGAAGCATGAGGACCTCCTCCAGGGGCGAGTTAACACCCTCATCAGTGAACAGAAGGCCATACAAGTAAGTAGGCCACATGTCTCTGGATTTAACAGTACCATTAAGGTATGGCTTGAAACAAAAGCAAGTCATGAAGTAAATGGTGGCAGCTCTCTGCTTTGTTTTAGCACAGATCCAGTGTCTAGTGCTAAATTTTGAAAAACAAGAAACTCTTGATGATCAACCTAGGATGGGCAATTTTAACTTCCAATAGTTAACATTTGTATTTTAATAGGTACTTCATGATGTGGCATAAGTGACAAATCATATACTTTTAGAACATACTTCTAGGTTTTGTTTGATTGAACCATGGACTTAAAGAGAGCAAGACAAGTTTTGCATTTCCAGATCTTCACAGATGCATCCTATAGACATAAACATGGGTTGCAGCATTTTACTGAAGTAGTTTTTTTGGTTTGTGTAGTCAAAGTTGAAGAGCTACCTTGCACAGCTGGAGGATAGAGAGTGTGAGATTGTAAAGCTTCAGGAATGTGAGAAAGCTCTTTATGCCAACTTCCAAGCATCCCTTAGAGAAAACAAGAAGTTTGCTGATTTTCTAACCAAGGTTCTGAAGAAGAAAATCAAGGGCACGGAAAAAAGAGAAGTAGGAAGAGAAGCAGGTTAGATATTCTGTTCTTTTTGGTTTCTGTGTTTTGTTACACGTATTTCTATGTGGTCAAGTAACTGTCTCTCAGTCTAGCTGGAGCCCTGAGTACATGCAGCATCCTAGTCAGTTCAAAACCCTGTAGATCAGATTTGTTTATATAGTGAAAACATGTTCTGTGTCAGCCATTTTGAATGATAATAGTGATGTAATCCAGTTTTTAACATGACTGCAGTTGGTCTGATGAGAGCTCCTGCAATTTATTTCCTGTAAGTCAGTATTGAGGACTGATAATTGGCAAGAAGAAAAGGCAAAGCTTTAAATAGGTACTTCCTATGCTGTACCAATGGGAGTTATGGGTAAGTAATTAGTCTGTCACCTTCATGACATTCTGCTTTAATCTGTCCCCTGATTAATGAGAGATCATAAACCTAATCTGCAATCATCAATTAGTTACAGGAGTACACGTATTATGAAAGGATTTCATTTGTCTTAGTGACTCAGTTTTAAACTGTTAAGGCTAGGCAGTCTTACTGAGCTAAATTACTTGTGCTCTCTCTGACTTGGCTTTTCAAGTGGGACATGATGAGCAAAAAAGTCTTTTTACCTTTCTGTGTAATCATCAGATCAATGCAATAGAAACAAGGTGCCTGGATTCACATATTACCAGGATGATCTTTCATGGATTATTGGGATTGTGTTCACCAACACATCAGCATAATGCACAGCTGGTGGGTCTTCAGGTGTTCTGCAAGCCAGCAGCACTGTCTGTTTCTTGCAGGTGAAGGACATGAGAATGAAGAGGAGGATGATGAAGAGTCCAGCTTGAGTACTGATGAAGAAAATTCTGGATCTGAAGATGAAGTCTTTGACGATTCTGTTTGCCCAAACGGTACCTAAGACATTGTTTCCTTCATTGACTAGTTGTTTAGCTTTAGGGACAACACTGTGTGTTGAAAAAGAAAACAGACTTTTTCATTATTCACTGCATATTAAAGCCACGAAGGGCTGGAATGTGTGTGCCCTTCCTGAGCTCAGCATTTCTTCCCAGGAAATCCTAGGGAAGATAATGAAATCACTGGTAGTGGTTTAGGGTACCCTAATTATAAAGTTGGGAAAAATAAAACTTAGCTAAGCACTACAAATTAATTATTGAGTGTAAAGAACCATTCACCATTTCACAGCTTTTTTCTGAGAGAAATGGCTCCTCTCAGGAGTGGATCTGTAGTGAGGCTGTGGCTGCTCTTTGGAAACCTGTTGCCTGGCCTAGCTGGATCCCTCCTGCTAGGGAAAGTTCTGAGGGGACCCTACCGTGCTGTTAATTGAAGCTCTTTGTTACCACCTCGTGGATTTGTGCAGCAATTGCCTGTTGCTAGGCGGCTCTCTCAAGGGCATCTGAAAAGATAGGAGCTTCGCTTTGCAAAATCCTCTTCATTCATGCATTCAAAAAGGGCAAAAAACTTCTCTCCTCCCCATCCCCTTTCTCTTTGGTACGTGTTTAGCTAATTTAGGGTGTTGTTTTGTAAAAAAAATAATCTTTGAGTGATATGTCAATGACCATGTAACAACACTGCTTCGTTTTAAGTGAGAACTTACCAATAATGCACCTCACCTTTTTTTTTTTAATTGGATTTTAATATCATTTCCACAAATTGAATTTTTTATTAACTCCTCATTTATCTCATTTTTCAATGAAATGTTGGGAAGAAATGAAGATTTTTACTTTCCATTTTAAAAGTTCAAATTGCTAATTTAGTAGGGAAATTACGTGTTGCATTAGCCTGTTCATATTTGTCTCTTTATGTGTCATTTTCTTTGCCTTTATTGGACTTTCTTTTTTTTTTATTATTATGCCTGCTGATTTGGGCATAATTATGCACTCAATTACTCTGACTGAAACCACAGTGTTAGACAGAAATTCACAGATCTTCCTTACCATGAAACAAATGAAACAGGTTCTATGAACCCAGCTTTGTTTACAAATAGAACTAGTTCATAGATTACAGCAAAGGCTGCTATGGATAAACAACTGTGTGTTCATATAATTGAAGGTTTTACTGTAATGAATAGTAATTACTGGGACTGCATTGCTTACAAAAGCTAGTTTTTGAGCACTTGGCTTTAATTCTGGCTTTGATGCATTTAATCTGACTTCTGGAAACAAACTGCCTTGACTGACTGTAAAGAAAAAAAGATCCATGCAAGACATTCACCCCCTCATGGAGGAACATGGCCCATGGGATTTATGTTTGAGAAGGCCCCAGGGAACCAAAAACCACAGTATTATTATGGAGAATGCTGGGCAATGTGCACAGTAGGAGAAGCTACTAGCTCAAGCTGGTAACTATAGTACAGTCATAATGAAACTAAGCTATTCTTTGATTCTTTCCTTCTCAGGCTGTGATGAGGCACTCCTCCAAAACACCATCCAGCTCCGGCAGCAGCGGTTAGACATTGAGAAAGAGAAGAAAGTTGCTGCTAACCTCAGAAAGAAATGTAGTGCCTTGGCCAATAAGGTATCATAGTGTTTTCTCAGCAAGCATCAGCATGCTCTATTACATTGAAAATGTTGTGCTAATGGTTTTAGCTGATTTAAAAACAAAATCCCAACCTTTTGAGAGGCCTCAGCTTGGGGAGTGATATCCGTGGTAGCATGGAGAGAAGAGGCAGCTCAACATAGGGCACATGTTCTCCTGAGAAAGGTAAATCGAGGTGCTCCAACCTTAGCTGCTATGAGGCTGGATCCAGGTTTTATGTCAGTTCTTCCCCAGCTGTCTAGCCATCATGCAGCAGCAGAAACTGAATTCAGTGGTTCAGGTGAAACACCTGGTGTAGCCTGGCCTGTCCCATGTGTATAGGGATGGAGAAATTGAAGAATACCTATCCTAACATAAATGCAGGTTAAAATAAATGCATAAAATGCTATTCTTACACCTATTTCTTTTGCTTTTAATTATTTTCTTTTTGTCACAGGTAATCACTAAATAAACTCTTTCGGTGCAAATTTTCCTTTTAGCTTTTTTGAACTCCTGCATTCATCTAGACATTTGATTGATATTATTCCAAAATATCTTAATTTGAAGGGTTATCTGGGATAGAGAGTGCTACCAAAATAATATTATGCAAGTCTTGCTTTTATTGTGTCTCAAAAATATTCCATCAAATATGCTTAACTTACAACATTTTTTGTTTAGTTTTTAAAGGCTTTCCTCAGTGTCAGCTGCCAACATATTCACCCTGGGGTCTGACATTTGAGTCTGAATTGTTTCTTTCTCATGCAGAATCAATAAGCATTTCCAGGCATAACACAATAAAAATTATCTTGCAGGCTCTGTAGATCTACAAGTGTTTTAGATGCCTAACAAAGCAGCTGTCTCTTGATACATACAGGGTTTCTCTAAGGAGACATTTATGTGTGGACATGTGTACAGAGGTATTTAGGTTAGAATCTTGCTTGAGTATGTAGGTAAGCCTCATGTTTGCCTATGAAAATCACCTATCATTACATGTAATTTTAAAAATAGAGCAATTTTTTTCTATAATGCTTTCCTTTTGGATCAGGAATTCTAACAGAACCTTTCTGCCTTACATATTTTGAGTGCTACAGGATTTTTGTTGGCCCACTATTTTTGTCTTTCTGCAGGCAAAAGTAGTGGAAACCAGTCTGGACACGACAAACAAGGAACTGGAGACCATTCAGTGGGAAAAACAGCAGAGGCTGAATGAGCTAGATGTAGCTGTGCCTTTGAAACTCCATCAGGTAATTCAAGATGCTGTGCATCTGCAGGTGCAGAATGGCCTATATACATCTAAACAATGGTGCTGCTGTTCTTTGGGGCCCTTAGTTCCTGAGTCATCATAGTCTCCTGGGAGTGAAGTGCCATTAACTGAACTTCATGTTCCTATTTCCTCTAGAATTCTTTTTTTTTTTCTTCTCCCATACTGACAGGAATGAGGTAAGGACAGGCAGGTTGGCCCGTTGCTGAAATGTGCATAATCTTCAAGTGTTTTGTAGGTTTGGCGTGGCATTTTCTTCAGCTTCATACCTACCAAATAGTCTCCTGGGGGAAAAAAAGAAAAAACCACCCCAAAAAAACCCCAAAGGGGAAGTGCAGGGAAGATAAGTAGAAAATGAAAACTCATGACAATACTGTTATTTTCTCTAGGCTGAATCTTGTCCTCAGAGAGAGAAGATAGGCCTCTACCTGTTAGTGCTTATATACCTCTGAGGCAAGCTCAGCTCTCTCCATTTGTTCTGTCTCCCTTCGGTAAAAGGTTGGTAATACAGACAGAAGAGTCTAAGGCTTGACTGTGCAATCCTGCAGCTCCCAGATAATTAAAAAGTACAGCTGACAGGGAGTGCCTCACTGCCCCTTTGTTCCAGGTGCCACAGAAGGGTAGACAGCTTTATGTGTAGGTATTTGTCAGAGATCCAAGCGGTCTTTGAGCTTCACTGAGTGGTAGCGATTCCCTGGCTCAAAACATGAGTTCTGCCCACACTTACTATTACCTCACTCATCAGTTCTCTAATGCTCACACATTTGTTATGTAGAGAGATCACCAGCACCCTTAATAAGTAAAGTCAGCCTTGCTTATTTATGGCTGCTTCTTGCAGGTGCAGTACTTGGTTAATGGGGAGATGCCCAGTGACTTCTCCCAAGCTTTGGTATTTAGCAGCTCGTCCTTGGAGTCCCTGCGGAAGAGAGTTGGGGAGTTACATAATGAAAATCTAATGCAAAGAGAGATCTATAATACGGCTCGGGAGCAACACAAGCAGCTTGTCCGGGACAAAAAGGAGAAGGAGAAAGAGATTCAAGGTGAGTAACAGACACCAAACAACACAGCATACTAATGCTCGTTCTGTCCCTCTCACTGGGTGGAGGTAACTCACCACATGTCTGTCTCTACACTTGCACAGATATCACAGCCGGTTACTGCAGAAAATAAAAACAGAATGAGCCTATCAAGTGGACTGTTTTGATGAAGTACTGGTAGTTCTCCAACACTATAGAGTCATTAGGCTGTGTGAAGTAATTTAGGAATTCAGTATAAGTAGAGTTGACTGAGATGAGACACTGGAAGTTGGGACATCTGATTCCAAACCAGAAATCCTAGGAAAAAAAGCAGTTTTCCCAAAGCTCCATAAGCTTTTTTTGGCAGTTTCCTCTGTGTAACATTAGAAGAATAAAACAAACCCTATTCAAAACACCTTCCGAAGAATGAAACCCTAAGCTGTGTCTAGCACCACCAGACCTGCAGAGGCCTTATATAGTCTGTCGTGTGGGAGTGGCTGACTAGGACTGGCTTAGTGACAACACAGGTGTGATAATGGGTAGGGACAAAGAGCAACACTCAATTGTGAGCTCTGTGTGGTTTTGTGTGAATTCTTTATTGCAGAGCAGATACCAAAGAGCTCAGACAAAAAGCTGGGGTAAGGCAGAAATTCTCACCAACCAAGGTATGACAGTGCTGCCCTTTGTGTCATGCCTCTCTCTTAGAACTGGAAGAGAAGTGCAATAATCTGATGATGAAGAAGTTTGGTCGGCAGGTTGATTTTGAAGCAGTTCAAGCAGAATCTGTTAATGTGCACATGGAGAAGATGAAAGTGCAAATAATGGAGAAAGAATATGAGCATTCCCAGGAGCTCAAAGAATGGGAGGTAAGGAGGAGGAAAAAGACGTGTTGTGATGATCTATAAAGGCTTCATTTCCTTGGGGCTGAATAGTTACACTAAAGATTTTTGTGACACAGAAGACAAGAAAGTTGTGCCTAGCCCTTCTTCCTCACTTTACACTTTTAGTCCTCTCTCATCCCAGCTCAACTTTTTAAATCTTTCTAGAAAAGAATCCTAGACCTGCGGAACCAGCTAATGAATGTGACAAACGAAAACACCAGCAAGCTGAAGCAGCTGCACCAGTTGACCATTGAAAAGCATCAACTTGAAACTAAGCTGGATTCACTAAAGAATGAACTGGTAAGCCTTCTAGCCACTCTGCTACACTGTACCACTTTAGCCACTGTGCAAGTTTGGGACTGCTCAGAAATGGTAAGGGATAGTGTGGCCCTCACCAGCTCTCTGGTCTCGCATCCTGCTCTGCAGGACCAGACAGCAGGCTGGGCTAATATTGGGACAGGCCAAATGACTGCTCCAGGTCTGGTAGAAGGGGATCAGAATGAGCTGATCCTGAAGCAGGCCATGCCTTAGCATCCCTGTCATTTCTTACTTAGCTGCTTTCTAAGACTGAAACAAACTCATCTTGTTTTTAATTAAAAAGTGCTTTGCAGAAATCTAAAAAAATGTTCCTTTGTTACATGAAAACAGTCATGTAACAAAGTGTTACAGTGAAAAGTGGTTTCATTGCTCTGCACCAGGGAATAGGCAGCCACCTGTGACAGTCTGAGGCTAAGTTAATGGTCCCTCACTAACTTTCTGACTTTCAAGTAGTTCTGACTAGGAGTGGAAAAGCCATGGACATGTCCTGCTTCCTAGAAAGCTTCACTTTCCTGCTTGAAATAAATTTCCACTGTTCGTTCTCCCCTGTTTTATAGGAGCCATTTTTTTTCCTTTCCATACAGGGAGTAGAATTTCATGGCACCCGAATTACTAAAATCAAAGAGAAAGCCAGGCTGGAGTCACAGCTCAAGCACCTGGTTCATGGTACAATCTTCCCCAGAGAGGCAATGAATCTGGGCAGAACAGATGGATGCTTAAAACAGCTCAACTTTCCCTAGAAGAAAAGGTGCGTGCCTCTTTCTACAGCCTGCATCACCACAGGACCCTGAGACACCAACGGTGAAATTGTTTTGGTTTAGTTGTAAAGGGTTACATTTCTTTCCTCTATCAATATATGACTGTAGCAACAGATATGGAATAAAGAATTGCAAATACAACTGCTAAATGCTGTTATCAGTCCATTGCAGGGCCTTGCACTGAACAGGTGCCCTGTGTGTGTGTGTGCATTATGTCTGTGCTTTTCAAACAAGTGGCTGTTGAAGGTTGGATCAGGGGGCAAATATAGCTTTGGTACCTTGTTCTCAAAAAAGGTAAAAGAGGTCTGCCTTAAAGGTGCATTTGTCATTGCTGAGCATCTTAGCAGCAATGGCACTGCTCTGCTAACAGTAGTTAGAGTCAAGGGATGTTCTATTTGCTCAGAGAAAGCAAAGGAGCCTTTCTTCTCAGGGCCTGTGGTGCTCAGAGGGGTACAGAGCAGTGGAAAACTGCACTGCAGCGCAGGATGTGGCATTTACAGGGCAGGAGAAGGGTACAGCAAATGTAAGGTCAGCCTGTAATTCCACTGGCTTGCAGCTGCCTGGTCAGAGTGAGAGCGCCAGGCTCTGTCTGTTTTCAGGGCTTACTCTTATTTGCTTCTCACATTTGGTATGGTGGCAGCACGTGATCATTTACAGCACTTACCCTGTTACGGCGAGAACTTCCTTCATCCCCAGGGCAGAGGGGTTGCATTGCATAGTTATTCTAGTGCAAGGCTTCTGAGGGTGTATGGGAAGGCTTGGGGGTTGTTGCTAATTCATATTGAATAGACTGAACATCTTGCAGCTGCTCTTGCTGTTCCTTCCCACTCCCTGCCTTTTGCCACTGGTCTTTGCATCTCTGGTGTATGCTCAGCCAGGGACCAGCCATATCCCAGCCAAGCACAAGAACTGTCCCTGCTGGGCCCAGCTCAACCACAAGAGGTACCTGTGCAGCTCTCCCTTACAGTGGGTCCCTGCTGAGGACCACACCTAGTGCAGGTAGCTCGGTGTGCAGCTGCACTGAAGCTCCAGGCAAGGGGCTGTGAACTGGCACCAACCTTTGCCTAACAAAGGGCACAGGGACCTCTGGTGCCAGCCAGGTGACCAGACACACAGACTCAGCTGGAGCCAATGAACAGCAACAAGACCCCAGACTAAGTATCACCATTGGCACAGGTGCACAGACGGAGGGCCCAGGGATTCCTTTGTTCAGGGTCCCTCTCCAGAGGCACCCAGCTTGAGCTGTTAGAGTGTTGCTGCACCACAATTAAATTACTTTTAGGAACGAGACACCTGAGACTCTGCTATGGGAAACCTAGGGTTGAACCAGTAAGGGAAACTTCTCTGAGTGGTGTGTTTAGGGAGTCAAGTGGGACATCTGTGGACTCACTGGAGCTGCCTGCTGTGAAGGGGCTTCTGTGTCAGCAGGTGAAGTCTCTGGTGTTGGGAGTGTGACTGCCAGAGTGCCTCCTGGATGGTCACACAGGGTAGTTTCCTTAATAGTTCCTTTTGAAAGTACTGAGCATCCCCTATTTCCTTAAAGGAAAACCGTTCTTATCCACAGGCCTCCACGCTGAAAGTTTCTGAAGCTGGAAAACCACAGGGTGGGGAGTGGGGTAAACTCAAATCTCTGCCAGTCTTAAAGATTGACAGAGATTTGTGTCTGTCCCTCCATCACCAAACTCATGCAGCTGTCCTTGCAGATAAATGGAAATTTCCTCTCTCTGTGCTCCTCACTAGAAGTTTTATGTCACTGAACTGGCACAGGTAGCAGCTGTCCCTCTTCTGAGCTCAGCATTAAGGAGATATTGCCTTGGTGGCTATTTGCAAAACTTTTAACTGCAGCAAAATGTCAGCTTTCCCAATGTGCCCTGCTTGCTGTATGTCTGCAAGTGAAGAAAAAGGAGAAGGCTCACTCTGTGGGAAGAATGAGCATACAGGCAGGCACAGCAGAGACTAAAGCCCTTATTTTAGATGTTAAAGCGTGGGTTTGTCTTTACAGATAGGCTGCAGGCAGTGTGCACGGTGTGTATGTGAAGGGCTGTTTACAGTGATTAGGCAGAGTGTGTAACTCCAGTCCATTCACAGGAGCGTGTGTGTTCCTGGAACAAACCTTCCTGTGGGGGAGAGGAAAACACCTTTTTGACAGCATTATCTTTTGCAAAGCTGTTGCTGCAAGAGGGTGCTCGATCTTGCTGGTGGCAGCTCTTTTTGAACCCGTGCCCTGCAATGTCCTTGTCCAGCTGTTTCAGTCGTGTGCTCTGACAAGCACAGCCAGTGCCACAGAGAGCTGCTGCCTTGTTTCCTGGGTCCTCCCATGACCTTGCTGAAGATGCCTTCTGTCTCCATAGCATTATAAAAGGCACATATACATCTATATACAAGTGCATAAATATATAAATAGGGGTGTTATACAAAAATAAATACCCTTTCTCTATTTCTCTTTAGAATAAGTCTTTTGCAAAAGGCAGCTTGGTCCCTAGCTGGTGGGAGGATGAGTCTCTAAGGGCCTCAGTGGTGGTGGGCTGCTGTTCAGATGTCTTGGTAGGTCCTGACCCAAAGATGTGATCACTGGATTCTGGGGATGAAGATCTCCTCTGGACCGGCAGCAATCTAGTCTTTCTACCTCCTCAACTGGCACCAGGCCTAGGCAGCAAGGGCTTCCTGAAAGGAAAAAGAGCAAGAAAATATTACAATGCACACTCAAATGAGAGATGTTGTGGAAGGTTTCTAGTCAGCAGTTCACTTTATAAGGAGAGGTACTCTGATCAAAGAGGAAGATCTACGTTCTGAAAGTCCTGACTATGTGGAAATTTGATCCCATGCTTGCACAAAACAAGTCTGATCCACACTACAGTGGATGAGATCCTAGGGAGATAGATTCTCATCATATGAACATGAGCCATCATAAAGCTCTACAGTGGTATTTCCCTTCAAGATCAGCATAAAATAATGAGATGGATGCACAGAGTTTTCCAGACCACTGACCTTGGTGGAACAGGGGATCCCGTCGAGCATCCAGGCTAGGACCTCCCGCTTTGCTGCCCATCACTGGATGATGGAGGCCAACAAAGTGCTCTTGAAGGTGAGGACAGTCATCTTGTGGCTGAAGAAGCTGGTGAGTGGAGTCATCTGGGAGACTGTAGAGGAAAGAGCTGTCTTCTGTTCTTGAGCTGGGCAATCTGGGGAGGCAAGCAAAGAGGTTTAGTACTATTAACAGATCTTTCCTCCTTGAAAGATATAACCTGTGCAACATCTCAGCCAGCTACATCAATGCAATGACACAGACCATTCCTAAATGAGGGGAAGAGCAGAAACCGGGATGTAGTTGTGGGATGGGAATGAGGGGATGGGACGTGACATCCATGACCTAACCTCTAGTGACTGCCACAGGAGCTGGAAGTAGTGCCTCACAGGAAACATGTTTCTAAAGACATCTGAACAGTGAGACACAAAGCACCCACAACTGGACCCTGGGCAGATTCTGGGCCAGCTGTTTATCAGCAACCAGTCATAGATGTTTGCTTCTCTCACCCTGCTTTTCAGTCTCCCATTTAGGAGCAGGGAGAAGAAAAGGAGACAAGGGGAAGTAAGTCTTGGCCACCTCTACAATTAAATTATTCCTCCCTGAAATCATAAGAGGAATGAGCTGTACAAAGAGAAAGTATATAAATGGATTTGTTTCCCAAGTAAGCTGGGACAGATGGGAATGTATTGAGGGCAGGCTTTTGTGAGCATGTAGTCTTGCAGGTCCCACTGGATTGTTCCACCCTCTCCCTCCACAAACCAGGGCTAACCTGGAGGGCTGGTAGTCTTGGTGTGCATTCCCATTTTGCAGCACTCTTGCCTGCAGCAAGGCGTTGGTCTCCTCGTGCGACTGCAAGGAGAGAGAAGGATTCTTAGCAGAGCAATGGCACACAGCAGCATTAAGACGCAGGTGCTGCTCTGAAGTCAGAGCCCTGGGGCAGATTGCTGAAGTTCTTATGGCAGAAGGCAGAGAAAGCTGAAACTGTTTGTTTTGATACAGAGGACAGTGGAACTGAGCACTGGAAAACTCACTTCATGCTTACTGCTGAATCCATAGGGGATGATAATCAATTTTCAGTGTCAGCCGTGGCACTGCCTTGGCCTATGTTACTCTTTACACACAGAGTCCTCAGCATTGTCAGTCCCTGTGAGCTTTGCTCGGGAACAGGAACCATTCCTATAAGACTAGCCTTTTCTCACTGCCTCCTCCATAGAGCTACTGCCTCAAGAAACCACCCCTTCAGTGTTTTGGAGACCTTCCTGTTCTCCATCTAAGAGTCCACTGCAAAGGGTAAATCTCTTTTAAGAAGCCAGTCTTCCACTCCTACATGCTGCCAAGTGTGCCAGCCATGTCTGGAGAAGCCTTCTCACTGCAACCATGGCCTCTAGCTCATGTGAAACCAGCTTTTAACCTCAGGTGTGGACGTACCGTTGGCACTTCATCCGGGCTGTAATCTCTGGGCTTGGTGCTTGCATACCCCACTCCTGTGGAGGGGCAGATGCCATTCAGATGTGCCCTGTTGGTGTAGGGCTGCCCATTAACATAAGGATGTCCATTGGCACGAGGAGCAGAGATGCCCCTCAGAGGCACCATGGTGTACTGGCAGGACGATACCAGCAGCCCAGCTCCTGGGAAGCCCATGTCAATGGTTTGCTCTGCAGAAGGAATAAAAAAGGAAGTCTGAGGCAAAAATCCAAGGTAAAGTTGAGTTTCTTGAAGCTCCTCGGGGATAGGGTTAGGCTGTCCTGTCAGGCAGCTATTTTGACACCCAAAGTACCCTTGGATACAAATGGTGGAAAGGGGCCCTACATGACTGCAAATGGAGTACCCCTTTGCCCCTAGTCTCAGAGGTTCCTTTTCAACAAGTAACAGGAAGAAGGTCAAAGAGTGGTCTTTGTTTTTACAGGGCTCCACAGGACATTTAAGAATTGCCTTCTGCCACCCTTTCTGTGCTTCACAGAATGTGCGGCCCTCACATTTTGGATGTTTGACCCAACTACACCCAGGGTCAGATTTAATCCACAGTCAAAGTGTATCTTGTAAATCATCCCTCAAGAAAGAACCCTTACTCTGCTTGGACCAGGCTCTCCAAAGGCAAAAGGGGATGAAAGCCACGATGAGGAGTACGATAGAACCCAGCACAACGCCTACAATCAAGTATGGCAAGTCGCTGGAACGGGCCACCATGGCTCCTGTGCCCAGGCCACTGTGCCCACCACTGAGTGGGGGATGCTGCTGGGGGGGCACTGTGGAGGGTGGAAGACGACCTGGCAGACCAAGAGACTTCCGAGCTGTGAAGGGAAGAGAGAAAGAGAGAGCATTAGACACAGACATGGCAGATGGAATAGCAGCCCATTCCAGGGATGTCTGTGCTACTGTGGAGTGGACAGACTTCTATGAAGTTCAGAATTAAAGAAGCACGGCTGGATGACAGGATTTTCCTAGTCTGATGCATATTCCAGTACAGACAAGTCCTCTGTGCTTGGCTTACGGCTCTGCCAGATCTGCTCCTGGGCTGCAAATGCAAAACCAAAAATAGCTTCTACAAAACACACACTAGGACTTAATGCTGTTCCTGTCTTGACAGTGCAGCTGCTTGGAAGGCAACATGGGACCTGCTTCTAACCCAATGCAGGAGTTTGGCACAGCCCTTCTGGTTCCAGATACTTAGGATAACAAAAGATAACTACTGCTCTGAGGGACAGTGATGGACTCTGCACAAGGGATCTGTGAGGACTGGTACGGGCACATGCACAGCATGAAGAACCCTCTGCCTTTCTTCTTCCCAGTGCTGCCTCCAAGACCTCGTCTGAACTTGGATGACACACTTTCAGGCAGGAATGGTACCTGCCATGCTTTGCTCTGACAGCTGCAGTCAGGGAAGGCAGCAGGCTGTGGAACTGGTTACCTTTGGTTTCACAGATCATCACGTTGCTGAACTCGCTTTCACCACCCTCGTTGAAGCATTGCATCTTAATGTCATATGAGGTCTCTGGCTGCAGGTGGCTGATGGAGTGCCAGTACCGATCTCCTGAGGAGGGAACAAACACACAGTGCTGTTAACTTCCTCGGGGAACATGCAGCTGGCCCAGCCCTACTGCAGTGCTAGGTAGGGTAGGCTCAGACAGCACCAGCTGCAGCCTTTTGTACATTTTGTGCACAGGGTTCCTTCTGGCTGTGTTGTCCTCCAGGAGGAACCAGCAGTTGGGACCCATCTCCCAATTTCTCCTACCTTCCACCACGTCCTTCTTGTAGTCGCTGTCATTGTCACTGTCAGTGGGGCGGTAGTAGATGTAAAATCCATGGATGGGAGTGTTGTTGTTGCTAGCTGGGATATACTGCAGAGAATGGGAAGGAGAGTAGAAATTAGCAGAGATGTCCGTGCTCCATATTGTACTAGGTGAGGAGCAGTTGGGATGAATGGGAAGAAAACCAAGCAGAGGGATCCTCCTTATGTTGCCACTGTTTGCACAGTAAGGACTTCCTTCGAATAACTCAGTGCTATTTTATACTCTGACACTTTGCTTCTCTCAGGTAACAGACAAGCCATGAGTCTGGGCCTGTCACCCCAAGCATCCAGTACTCTGCTCCCTATCAGCAGCTACAGCCAATGCTTCAGAGGAAAAATTCCTCAACAACAGTGACTCAGCTGGGCATGGGCATGGGCTTGACTCTAGTAAGCTCATGGCTTCCAGACAAACTGCACCTTGCCACTAACTGGTGATTGCAGGAGTCCTGTGTTTTTGAAGGCAGCTCTGATCCTTCCCCATACCCAGGGCAGTCTGTCCCAGCTCCGTGTGTTCTTGCTGTCTTTCACCCAATATTTTATCAGCTACTGTTTGTGTTTAAATGAACAGCAGTGCCCATCCTGCCCTGTAGCAATTTGTGTCTAGAAGCAGCTAGAAGAGAGGAGGGTAATGAATCCCTCTGAATAAGCTCTAAACTGTTGAAAACACTTGGATCTGGGCTTGTCATCAAAAAGACCTTCCCCACTCCTAAAAGTCCTCCGGGGTGGACTGCTGTAAATGTTTATCAGCACGCCGGACCGCTACCCAGCAATTGAGAGTGAAGGACATATCTGCTGGAAACTACTAGGACAAACAGAGGTGCTAATGGATTCAGAAATTTGGCCAGGAGAGCAAGCAGCCACCCCACGCATCATTGAACTGTGCTTGTTGAACAAAATGGTCAAGACCCTGGGGTTACCCACTGAAATCCTCCTGTATACAATGCTGGATTCAGAAGAGGAAAGGTCTTCCTAGGCTCTCTGACTTAGTGCCCTTCTATGTGACTCAAGCCTAATTCTCCTTTGAAGGAGGCAGCTCTTGGATCCCAGATCCATTTGTGCTGGTGACACGCTCCAGTGTGGTAACCTGGAAGAAGTGTAAGCTAGGCAAGTAGCGCACACACACACACACACACACACCCCTGCTTCCTGCACATGCAGAGATCTCTGCCCCTACAAACCTTACCATCCACTTCAGCATGATGGTGGTCTCGTTGATGGCATCTGTGAAGGTGATGTATGGCCCGGCCACGGGGCGCTCATAGACGCGGTTGCTGTACCCAGACACCACGTATGGCCGAGATGCCGCACTGGGCTCGCTCTCTCCCAGGATGTTTAGTGCCCGGACACGGAATTTATAGGATGTGCCTAAGGAGGAAAATGGGAAATGCAAGAGTTGCAGAGATTGGAGTCTTCTACAACTTCTACCGTCAGCACTGGCCTGACTGTGGAGAGAGGCTGCAACTTCTCCAGAAGGCAGAGAGCCTACAGAGAGTTTTTGATTGAAGTACAAACACCAAATGGATACATTCCAGCTATGCACTAGATGGAACCTGCTTTTATTTGCCTTCCCTAACTCCTGCCTGGATGGTCTAAAGGTCAGGTAACAGTTTTGGAAGGTGTGTGTGTGTTAAAAGATGCCTGAAAAGATATCCTGACATGAAAGCAGATATAGGAAGGCATCCTTCCTCTACTACATGGGAATTAAGTACACAAACATTAGTTAAAGGATCAAAGCCTAAGTAATTTTCACCCAAACATCATTTTACTGATCTTTGAGTTGGGTAGTTGTGTTCCCCTTTTACGCTGTCCAACTCAGTGATGGTGTCTTTTCTCATGTGAAGTGCAATGGGAATTGTATGCCCATCTGTCTTGCCTGTGGCTAAGGAAAGTTCTGTTCTGTCTAGTAAATGGCGAAACCAAATGCCTTTACTAACTACATCCTGTAATACAGAAAAGCATGTGTAACTCTCCCTGAGGGAGGTCAAATCTATGCTGGTCTTTGCAGCTGGAGAAATTGGAGAAGCAGCTTTTCCCCATGCATCTAAGGCAGGAGCTGGGGAGGCTTTGTTTTGCTCACACATGCTGGGGCTAAGCATGACGTGACAGATGGCTAACCATCCTACAGGGACTATGCAGCTTTCCTACAGACCTCCAGGAAGCAGGGAGGAGAACACCTGCCTACCTTTCTCCAGGCCTGGGATTTCCACAGAGAGGCGAGAGGGAGGAATGTCACTGGTGGCCAGGACCCAGTCTCCCAACTTCTTCAATTTCTTATATTCCACACGGAAAGACTGGATGGGGAACCCACCGTTCCCACGGGGAATCCAGGTCACATACACAGATGTCTCTGATGCCATGGAGATGGTTGGACGGTCTGGTGCCTCTGGAGCTGCAAGGGGCACAGAAGGACATCAGGACATGAAACATATTCTTTTTACCCTGTCCGGAGGATTGTGTAGCTCAGAGGTATGTGGGTGAAGGACTACTTGCATTGTACCCACCCACATGCTCTTTAAATCCTGAATGCTCTCTTCCTTCTGCCTCTTCATTAGAGCTGGCACCCCCAAAATCCTCATTCCTTTCCGTTTGTGCCCTTAAACACTTTTTACTCCTGCTTGTATCTTGCTCCTTTTCCACTCCCAACTCAGGTAGGATGAGGCAAGGTTTGAGGTGTGTACACCCATCATGGGAGGGAGAGCAATGAAAAGGTGTGGATGCAGGGCTGGAGATGGAGCAAAAAGCCTGGCTGATGTAGAAACAGTGGGCAAGGGGAAACTGACACTGGGGACAAACAAGTGTAGAAGATGAAAATAGGAGAGATTGAAAAGAAAAAGCAGAGGAGGAAATACAGAAAAGTTCTGAATTATAGAAATGCAATTTCATAGGAAAACAGCCAAAAGACAGAAAGCAAAGAGATGAATGGAGCTGTGGATATGAAAGAAAAAGCAACAGAAAAGGCTGAAGGATAGGACTTCATAGAAAAGATAGAGATTGGAGGAGAGAGTTTCACAGAAATGATAATGGCAATAGTAATGGCAGTCACAAGGTGGGAAACAATGAATTGGATTAACCAGTAAGCATCTAATGTTTCTCCAGTGCAGCAAAATACCCAGTTGGGCACCCTGCAGCCCTAGAATGGGCACTAACTGCCCCTTGTTAGGGCTTGGCTGAGAGAGGAGGATGCCAGAGCATGCAGGTCCTTGGTCTCCCCTTCTTCCTCACACTCCCTCAGCACCCACTGGTGCACTGCAGTTTGTTGTTCCTATGTACCACGCATTTGCAGGCTGCAGGGCAGGGCTTCCTGAACCCTCCGTGTGAAACTCCAAGAATTTCTGACAAGTCTTAGCAGCAGGCAGTGAGATCTGCCTGCTCTCCTAACACAGACTGTCTGGCAAAGGCAGTAGCAGGGGTGTCTGAGAAGGACCTCTCCTTGTCAGGAGCTAGAGACCACTCAACTGGCATTGCACAGCCTTGATTTACTCAGAGGAGACTTCAACTCCACCACAGCCTGGCCACTGCGACCCAGCATCCCTCACCCTCCCTCCCTGCCCAGTTCAGGGTGTCCTTACGGGACAGACGGCTGTTGTCGGACTGGTTGCTGCTCTGAGTGCTCGTGCCCGGGTCATCCCTCTGGATTTGCTGCTCTTTGCTGGCAACAATCTCGGGTTTTGGGCGACGACCTGTGCAGAAGGGGAGAGATGGCATCAGTGACATGGCAACATGACTCAGAGTTAATTTTTGCTGTGATAAAGAAAGAAAATATTCCCAGCCAGGATGCTGAGGTAAGTACTCTCTGGACTCTAATGGCCCTAGGGGTTCAATGCACTTAGCCTTAAGGTTGGAACTAAAGCTAAAGGGGCAACTTTGTTGAACTGTTAATAGGTCCCCCTCCTATTTAATTTTCTACAACTTTTAATTAGTTTTCTTGAAATGCTGCTAGATTTCTGGCTGAGAAGGAAGTAATTAGCACAAGACAGGGGGCCTGAGGGGAGATGTAAGCAAGCCCATCACCATGGGGAAGATTGCTACAAAGGGAATGTGATTCCCCACACCTGCTGGAGATATGAAAAACAGCCAAGGGACAGGGGGACTTAGTGTAGACATTTAGAACATCCTTTTATTGGCAAAGACAGCTTGGCACCAAGCAGACTGCATGGGAAGGCTTGGGGGGTCCTTTGGAGCAGGAAAAGCTTTTAAAGACAAATTACACAAATGCCTGTTGAGAACAACCCCCACAGGCTGACTGTGTCTCCAGGCAGAGGATGGATTAAACAACCTCATGGCATCCCCACTAGACCCATTTTCTATGGTTCTGCAGGTGTTCAACTGAGACACTGAAGGAGGAAGGGACTTATTCCAAATCACACAGAGGGGAAGACCTGATTTTCCCCATCCCACCCTCCACTTTCCCTCTGACAGTCATTCTAAGCTGAGGGCAGATGGGTTTCCAGGGCAGAAACATCCCCTTTGTCCTAAGGCTGGCTCCTGTGCCACAGGGCTGGGGCAGGATGTCTCAGAGAAGCCCTCCCCTGACTCAGAGCAAAACACCCAGGGAAAGGTTTGACCTTTACCAGTCCGGAAGGTCACCATGGCTGTCTGTCCCTCGCCGGCACAGTTGTGAGCAGCCATCTCCACCTCGTAGAGGCTCCCCGGAAGGCTCCCAGGGTCCAGCCTGGTGAGGGTCAGGCGGTGCTGCGAGGCTGGGACGTCCCTCACTGCCCAGCTGTCCGAGGCATTGGTGACCTGCTGAGAGACCAATACAGGCATTGCAAAGCTGGGGGCAGACTGGGCTTCCTGTGGGCACTGAGCTCAGAAACTGTCACGACAGGTTGTGTACCAACCAGGGCTACCTTCCCTGCCTAGAGGACAGTTCCCTGTCTACAAAGGATAGAGAGGCTTCCAGCCTGATTTTGCAAAGCTGAAGGATTCAGGTAGAAGTGGACAAGTGACCCAAGCACCTGGGTGTTTTCCTGACCCCAGAGGTTCACTCAGCCTTGTTCCATCTGCTGGTTCCCTCCAATACCTCTGCCCCTCAATGTGTGTAAGGCTCTGGAGAAGGTGTGCCCCATAAAAAAGCAGCACTAGCCACAGGACTGAGCTGCTTTAGGAACCAAATCTCTCCTGCAGCCCAGCTGCTGAGCTGCTCATTTAGACTCTGGCCACTTCCGTGGGCTGAGGTACCTAGACATACTGAACCTAAATCATTTGACTAACAGCTTTTAATCAGGTTTTATCCAGCCTTACCACCAGCACTTTCAGGCTGAAATGAAGAACCATAATGTTGGAGCACAGGTTTCTGCAGGGAAGTGACCATATATGGCCGTGGCCTCCAGAAAGGCTTGGAAACAGTTTGTTTTTTGGTGATGCCCCATGCAGAGGGGGAGGGAAGGTGGGACCTTTCTCCGTCTCCCCAGCTGCAAGGATAATATTTTTGCAGGCAAACAGGCAAGACACTGAAGTGACCCAGTACTGAAGGGAGCATTAGTAATGCAGGCAACGCAACAAAACGGAAATGCCAAGACTCTGCTGTATCATTCATCTTCTCCAAGCGTTTGACACTGACTGATTAATGCCTGCCTCGTTTTATTTTCATTCCCCAGCCTGCAAAGTTGTGAGGCCAGGGAGGGGAGCCTTAAAGGCTGCTCATATCCAGGAAAGAAAAAGAGAAACTCTTAAAGAGCAAAAATAATGGCTGTGTGGCATCTGACTGCTTGCAGGCTGCTGAGAGTTTAAGGGCAATGTACGAACAGGGGAAAGAAAATGAGGCATCCACAGATATTTTCCAGAGGAGAAGCAGAGCCTCAGCCAGTACAAATGTAAGCTTCCTGTCTATAGGTTTTACTTTCCTTACAGCCATCTTTCACACAAAGAGCCTTTTCTTTTGTTGCTGAATTGATTCCTTCCCTCTCTGCACACATGCTTTTCCAGTCAGAAACGTCAAAACCTGATCATTATCTAAGCTGATCCTAAGGATCTCGATAGAAAGAGACTCTTTCTAAACAAGTTTAAGGGTTATTGGGACTAATTCCTTTCCACACAATTCTTAAGCATCCCAAGAAAGAGTCTCCAGCTGAGAATTTGGACTACACTGAAAACATATTACTGCAAACTGCAGTGACCCACAGTGACCTCCACTGCCCTATGGCCCCTTCCAGGTGAAGCGCTGAAAAACAAATAAAATATGGACAGACCTCAGCCTGCAAGTTAAGATCACATGCAGAATTGGCAGTTACATGACACAACATTGGGGGACAAATCTTTTCTGGGCAGACAACCAGAGCCAATAGTCTGGTGAGGCTTTTGGCACCTCATTTTTGTATTTAAGCTTGGCCTATTATGTTCTTGTGTTGGCATCTTCTGCCTTTGTTTGAAAGGGCTCTTTAAAGAGATGGTTAGCTGCAATCCTCAAGTTTTGTTTAGAAAGAAATCAAGGATGTGTAGGGATTATAATAGCCTTCTATTATGCTGTATTTTCACAAAATCAAACAATTGAAGGAAAACAGATACATATATTCACATGTACTTGAAAACAGTGTCCTGCAGTGACCGGGAATCCAAAACATATGATCTGGTATGTTTCTGGAATACACTCAAACCCTTTGGGGTTTGAGGCAAAACCTGCCTTTCTACTGCAACTCCTTACCTACCCAAAGGAAAGTCAAGCAGCAAACAGATAGATTCAAGCCTCTTTTTTCCACTTATCCCCAGCAAAATGGAAAGAGATACTTCACGCATCAAAAAGCAGAATTTTTCCCACAACAATGCTTCATTCTTTAGAGGAACTGCTGGTCTACAGCTCTGCCTGCACTGTGCCCATGGTGCTGGAAGCACTGCAGAGGGCAGGAGTCCTTGGGCTCAAGCAGGACTTAGCAGTGCACCATGTGCTCACACTGTGCCACCAGCAAGATGCATACTCAGCAGTGAGTGCACTGCCTTTCAGCTTCCAGAATAAAACTGGTGGTTGAAAACCTTCCCAGAGGACTCAGCATGGCTATGACAGCTCTCTGCTGACTGCCCACAGTCACAGAGCATGGACACTTTGGTGCTGCTCAACAGGACAGGTACATGCAGCTCAAGCCATTCAAGGCAGAGGTGTCCCTCTGGCTCATGTCAAGACAAAAGCATTCCATAACAAGTCACTGTGCAATCTTGCCTCAGGACGTCCTCCTCATGCAAGCACACAACTGGGAATTACAAGCAGAAGCAACTGGAAACACACGTGTGTCCTTCTGCATGCTTAGGCAGACAGACACTGCTATGGGCTCTTCTTGGACAGTGCAGCAAACCTTCTCTCACAGCCTGTACTCATCAGATCTCAACAGGCTAAGGCTGCAGCTCAAGAGGTCCCACCAACCAGTGCCACCAGTGAGCGATGGGTGCCCCTGCCCCAATGCATCTGCTCATGAGGTGTGAAAATGTGTGCTGAGGCCACCAGCCCACCTGTGGAACAGCATGGAGGGATGATGGGAGCAGGGCAAAACAGTGATACCTTGCGATGCTTCACCACATAATAGAGGATGGGGGCTCTGCTGTCCGGTCGGGGTCTCCACACCAGATCGTAACTGTCCGTCTTGGATGTCCGGGGAGAACTGAGGATGATGGGAGCCTCAGCTGGAGTCACCAGCTCCCTGTTGGCTGCACACTGTGGAGACACTGCCAGTGGGGTTGTCCCAGGCTTTGGCAGTCCAGCTTTATCCAGAGGCAGCTTTAAGGCACTGTCCCTAGAAGGTGGTGTTGGAGGCTGAGCCGAGCCCAGGTGGGTCTCTCTCCCAGGGTTGAGTGTAGCTCCTGAAAGACAAGGTGCCAAGGCAGGGTAAACACCCATCCTAGTCTGTGGTGAAGGAAGAGCTATGAGCCCGTTGTGCAGTGCTGCCAGCCTTTCCCCACTATAAACCTAACACATCTTACTGGGACCATTCTGAGAACAGGCCTTGGCTACATGGGCCTTCCTCCCTCTCTGAAGCCCCACTTACCCTAGGTAAGTTCAACAGGGTCCAAGGAATCAGGTGGTACCTCTCTTACCCCAGGTGAATTCACTCACATCAGTATTTAAAGTCTTGCCCAGCACAAGCTCAAAGGTCATGGGGTAAAGCACTACACCCAGATGTCCTGCATTTCTTGTGTAGAGATTGCTTAAGTATGCACACAAGGCTCTGCCCTTAGAAACAAAACTGCTATCATCTGTTCCCACAGGGAGATATTGAGATCCCAGTCAAAATAGCACTCAAAGCATAGGTTAAAAGAAGGAGGGAAGAGCAAGGCAGCTCAAACACAAATGGGAGGGTTACACACCAACTTTCTCCTCCTGCTTCCCCTG